TTGTGTGTTGTATGTATTATATACTATATTCTTACAAAAAAAGTAAGCTAGAGAAAAGAAAGTGTTTTTTCAAATTGTTGCAAATCTCTAAAAAATTTTCCAGTGTATTCATTGGAAAAAAATCCATGTGTAAGTGAACCTTCCCAGTTCAAATCCATGTTGTTCAAGGGTCAACTATACATTGTGTTTTTAGATGTAATGCTATTGCATACTTAATTGGCTATGGCATAGTGTGAATATAACTGTTATGTGCACTTGGGGAACCAAAAATTTGACTTGCTTTCTTGTGATACTCACAGTATTGCAGTGGTCTGGACCCAAACCTGCAGCATCTCTGAGGTCTGCCTGTACAATGAGCACTTTTTATTATATTTAATTTTCCCTGGCAGTCCTGCTAGGTAGGTGATGAGACCCCCATTTTACAGATGAGGAAACTGAGGCTCAGGGAACTTAAGTGATTGAGATGAGCTGGAGACTAATTTCTGAGCCTCCATGCTTTCAGTGTTTCCCTGTTGCCATATGTATAACACAGCCCTACTGAGATTACTAAACAACAAGTTCCATTTTATGGATAATACCACATTTTGCTTATCATTTATCTGTTGATTGACATTTTGGTTGTTTCCACCTTTTGGCTATTATGACTAATGCTGCTCTGAACATTCATGTGTGATTTTTGTGTGGATATATGGTTTTATTTTGGGTATGTACCTGGGAGTGGAACCGCTGGGTTATATGTCAAGTGTAGGTTTAACCATTTGAGAAACTGCCAGACTGTTCTCCACAGTGGCTTCCCTGCTGCCGTTTGCACAGGCTTGCCTTCAGAGTGACAGGCCTGGGAAGAAGGTCAAACCATAGAGTCTGAACTGCCTCTTTTCAAAGAAGTAGACTGTTAGAAAGTACTGTTAAGACTGCAGCTTCATTGTTGAGTCTTGGTGATTCCAGAGGGACTTGTGGGTTCTGCAGGGCCTCAAGGACACTGCTGTAAGTGCTGATCATCATTGTGCCAGCAGAATCTGCCTTCTGCATCCATTGCTGAGCTATTAGAGAAGGTGCTAGAATAAAACCTAAGGTTCAGGGTGCAAGATAAGGACAAGTGTGGTTAATGGTGATGAAGCCTCTTAGAAGAGGAGGACAGACATGACGGCTAGGAGAGAAAGGAGTCTGGAAGGAGTGACAGGGTCAGGGTGCAGGTGGTTTGGTTTGGGGCAAGTCCTTGCGTGGCTGTGGCTGCCTCTCTGATGTCTCTTTGTTCTTTGCAGACCTAGCCGAGTGCAAGCTCGTTTCCTTCCCCATCGGCATCTACAAGGTCCTGCGGAATGTCTCTGACCAGATCCAGCTCATCACTCTGGCCAACAATGAACTCAAGTCCCTCACCAGCAAGTTCATGACCACGTTCTGTCAGCTCCGAGGTAGGCCCAGTCAGCTAGCCCTGATCCTTCAGGCTCTGACCCTGTCTGGGGGGTGTCTCCAGGGCCAGACCCCCATCAGTTGGACTCAGCAGATCATTCCAGGGGAGGCTTTGTGGATGGACTGTCTTCCCCACAGCTTGGAAATCTCTGCACATCATTCCTGCTTCTTTCTGCCTGTGAGTGTGACTGGCTAGTTCAGTGCTGTAGGTCCTAGAATGGTTCTCTTGTTGAACAGACTAGTGGGCATTCAGGGTCCTGAGGCCTAGGAATAGTTTTTCCTCGGTAGAATAGAGTGAGCCCCTTCCCGCCTCCCAGTGTAGCATTCTTCTCCCATGCTGCTTTCTCAGTTCAGGAGTGACAGATGCCAGGGTGCTGGTGTTTCTTCTGCTGGGCACACAAAGACCAAGTGGACAGGGTGCTTGGCAGGGAGATGGGCAGAAGCCACAGGTGGGAACTGCAGATGCTTCAGATTCTTTTGAAAGAGCTTCTTTGGATGGACAGGCAGGATGCATCAACCACTGCTGTGTGTGCATCCCTGTCCACAGAGCAGTCCTGCTGTCCCTCTGTGAGCATCCACTGCCACTCAGTGGCCCGTAGGGTGGAGCTACAGCCTGGACACTTGGTATGTGTTTGTGAAATGGTGGGGCCTGAGAACTGGGGAGGGTGCAGGAGGCATAGGAGACGTGATTCCTGCCTTCTAGAATTCTCTATCTGATAGGGGCATGAAAAGGGTCTAAGGAGCTGTTTAGAGAAACCAATGTATAAAATGCTGATAGAACTTGAGGGACTTGAGCAATCATATCTCATATGGCTTATTTTAGGCTTCCTAGAGGAGATGTGGGCATTGAGCAGAGGCCTTAGGGGAGAGGGAGGCATGAATTGGCAGACTTGGTCCAGGGACAGGAAGCAGCTTGTACCTGGCTCAGGAGGGACCTAGAGGCAGGACCTGGAAAGGCCACCAGCTCGGTGCAAACACAAGGGCAAAGAGGAGGGGTTGGTCTGTGTAGTCGTTTCAGAGGGAAGCTCCTAGAGCTCATTGATTTGTGCCTAAAAAGCGAAAGTCCCCTATGACTGAGGGACAAGGAAACCTAGGCCAAGACTTGTTTTCCCAGAGGCTCCTGTGGGTGCTTATAACTAGGCCTACTCTAGCCATCCTTCCTTCTCGGGTGGCTGCATCATCACACAGGTGTGATGGGTCCTCACAGTCAGCAGGCCCCTTGGGCCAGCAGCTCTCAGCCCTGGCTCAAATTACAACTATCTGCGGGGCTTTTCTACAAACATAGTTGGCTCAGCTATACCCCAGGACCAGTTGAATCAGAATCTCTGGGCCTGAGCCTGGGCCAGGCATCTATTAAACTATACCAGTCATTCTAATGTGCCAGCAGCTAAGGTTGAGACCATGGCTCAGGGGTTATAAATGCAGGTGCCTAAGAGACTAGCATGTAAGTAATGAGTGACTCTGATTGGGTAAATGGTAAGAGAGAGTGGTGGGGACTGTGGCAAACTAGTACACTCCCTGCTCAGCTTCTGCCCTGTTCTTCAAGCACCATGAGATTGTTCTGATTGTTTTATTCATTAGAAGTTTGATATGGATTTTCAGGTGAATTTTACCAATTTTTATATAATATGGAAGCTGATAAAACATATTTGCAAGCTAGATTTAGTCCAAAGGCCACCAGTTGGGAGAATCTCCCATGAAATACTAGGCTCTCTCTGCTGTCTCATTCCATAGGAAGGTCAGGGAGAGAAGGGACTCGTCAGGAGCAAGCAGTTCACCCAGGTTGCCCACCTTGCAGGCCAGGGCTGCCTTTCTAGGCCATCTGTGTTAGCTCAAGGGTCCCTTGGAGATGTTTGTTTTCCAGAGGAGAGAAAGATAGAAAATGGATGGGGGTTGGGTGGTTGGCTAGGACGCTCAGTAAGGGCACAGTTAGGCAGCGGGGCTTCCATTTGCTGAGAGGAGAGTTCATTTGTGCTTTCCTTCATTCAGCCTTCCCTTGAACACCTGCCATGTAGCAGACCTGTGTCCAGAGGCTGGGAAGCAAAGGCCAGTAGACCAGGTCTGTCCCTGGAGGAGCCCAGGGTAACGGGACAGAGTTATCCACAGCACTGGTTATGGGGTACTGTTAGGCAAATCACTGGGGCTGATGAGAAGAGGGACTAATTCTTCCTGAGAGTGGCTTGGCATGGAAGCAAGGGCTTTCCAAGGACTTGAAATGGGCAGCTTCTTGTGGGATGTGTAAGAGACCCTCTCCATGGATAAATACACTCAGGAGCCCTGCATCCTCACCTTAGCCAGGGAAGTGTTTTATTGTGATACCCTTCAGGTTGGAGCCTGTTGAAGGATGCCGTTGCAACTCCCTGTGGGGCTGCTGGTGGCTCCCCACTCCCTGTTGGATGACAAAGGGAAGGCGGTGCTGTGGCCGGTAATTAGATTTCACAGAGGCAGTAGCAGATAGCAGGAAGGTGACAGGAGGCAGGGAGGCGCTGGAGCTGACACCACCTCCTCTCTGCTCCAGCAGAGACAGTGCTGGGCCCCAGCCTTTGTTGTGGTTTCCTTTTCAAATAGAAAAACCTCTCTTCTCTGTGTGAAGAGGAGGCTTGAGCATGCTTTGCTGGGCTCTGCACAGTCTGCCAGCATCCTCTTCTTGATTCTTGACAGAGCATAGGCTGCTTTGGTGCTGGAGAGAAAGCTGTCTGCTTATTCCCTGCCTACCAAGTTGTCTCCTGTGGGTGCCCTGTGGACTGTCTTCTGCTGAGCTCATGGCCCCTCAGAGTTGGGTCATCTTTAAGTGATTCCATCCCCTTGATAGCCATCACCAGTTTTATGGAACGAAAAGCACAAAAGCCAGTGGTGTAAATGGAATCTGTCCAAAGGGAAGGCAAACCCTTGGAGAGTGGGTCCCAGTGTCTGGCTCTGACTCTTATGTCCCCTCTTCTCCTGTGTTCCTACCTCCCCACCTCCTCCCAATGCAAGTCAGCCAGGTCTTTTTATTGAGCATGTCCTGGGCCTGCCAGGGCACACCTGTGGAAATAAACGAAGGCCACCCAAAGGAAAACACACAGAGGCTGTTCATTCAGAGCTTGCTGTAGCGAGGGCGTGAGTCACTGTCACTTGCACTTGGCAGAGACTCAGAGGCAGGCAGAGTGGGAAGGCTTTATAAAAGTGGGTAAAAAAGATGGTTTCAGGTAGGCCCTGGTTAGGGGCACAGCCCTGGGGATGCTGGAGACAGGCCAGCTAGTAGCAGGGCAGCCTATGGGATTGGTTAAGGTACATACTTGGCTTTCTCTGATTGGTCCTAAGTTGGAAGTAGGGACAAAAGTTAGGGAAGCTGTTAGTTATCAAGCCCTGGCCACTTGGGGCCAGTTGTTGTAGGGATATTACTCGGCTTCCTGGCTTGTCAGGAGAGAGCAGTCTGACTTCCTGCAGGTCTCACTTAGAGCATATGAGCTTCCTGGGCTGGTTACTGGAGCTCATGGGGTGGTTTCCTGGGCAGGCTGCTCAGATGGTGGGTCGGAGCTCTGATTTCACATTTGGTCCTGCCACTGTCTGCTCTCTCACATTCAGTCTCTCCTAGCCTGTCTTTCAGCTCAGTTCAGCCATTCCTACTGAGCACCTTCTCTGGCCTAGCCATGGGCATGAACAGGTGAGTCATAACTCAAGAGTCCAAATCCACTGGGCACTTAGCCCTCCTAGCTTCATGCTGAGTGTTTTCCACACATCATCTCATTCAGTCCTCCTAGCACCCAACCTTTGGAAAAGAAAAAAGAAAACTTAAGACCTAGACCTGGACCTTGAGGAAGCCCCTCTGGGGCGTGGGTGTATAAGAAGACAACACCTCATAACGTGAGGGTCACACAGCAGACATTTACTCAAAGCCCGCTGGGCGTGTGGAGGAGGCAGAAGTCAGTTCTGCTGTGGTGAGTGGGTGTGTGCTTCTGCTAGGGCTGCCTTCACAAAGCAGACTGGTGGCTTTGACAGCAGACATCTGCTTCTCTGAGCTCTGGAGGCTGGAATCAGACATCCAGATGTGGGCAGGTTTGGTTTCTCCTGAGGCCCATCTCCTTGGCTTGCAGGTGGCTGCCTTCTCATTGTGCCTCACATGGTCTTTCCTCCGCATGGATCCCTGGTGTCTCTCTGTATGTCCTAATTTCCTCCTCTTACACGATACCGGTCAGTTTGGATCAGGGCCCACCCTAACGACCTCCTTTTGCCTTGATCACCTCTTTGAAGACCTTATCTCCAGCTGCTGTCACATTGTGAGGTACTGGGGACTAGGGTTGCAATATACAACTCTGGGTGGGGGGACACAGTTCAGCCCCATAATAGTGGGGAATCAGAAAACTTCCAGAGGAAATGGCTTAGAGGGTACATTTGACAGATGCTTAGGAGTTTGTGAGATTGAAAAGGGGGTGTTCCTGAGGCATCTTTCAGGGAGATGAGAGGTGTGTTTGAGATATGACTAGAAAAATGGTATAAGACTGAATGTTATAGAGCAGGGGGTTATGGTGTGTCATCAGGGACTGGCTGGAGGGAAAGTTCTGCCCAGGCAAGAACACCTGGGAAGGATGCTGGGCCTAGGGGATTGGGTAGGCCTATGCAAAAGGATGAGAAAGTTGTGAAGTACAAGAGAAGTGGTGTGAGTCAAGTTGTGAGGCCAGGACGGTATGGGAGGTGACATCAGAACCAGGCAGGAGAGGTCTCATGGGCCAGATCCATGTCAACAGGACCTCAAATGCCAAGTCCCAAGCTTTATCCAGCTCCCAAGGAAGGTTATGGGACCCTTCCACCTGCTCAGAGTGGATTAGTCCCCTGACAGGGACAGCCTGGGCTGGGGGAGGAAGGGCTGCTGCAGGGTGAGGCTGGGTTTGGGCTGGTTGGGGTGGGGGGTGGGGTTCATTGTGGGGGTGGGTAGCAGGGAGTCTTGGCTGCTCTCTGGTCAGGCTGGGTGCCTCCGTGGAGGCTAGATGGCCTGAGGCCCTGCAGCTGGAGAAAACTGGGC